TGAGTAACACATAAGAAGAATAACAATAAATAAGTTTCGCAGTGTCATTTGAATGGTTGATAGAAAATGTTCAATTGTACAATGACTATTGTATGTGCCAATAATTAATGCACATCTTATCTTTATTCTCTATCTAGAGAATAACACTAAGAGCGGCTAGTCATTATCTGTCTAGACGAATGTACATTACTAACAACAATGGCCATGCATTCACTCTCTCAATTATTTACTCATGCCTTCTTTTTCCATTTTTCCTCACTTTCTCTCTTCTCTCTTCGCGAACATATATAAGGAGAGAAAAGAAAAGAATAGACGGACATTGTTGTACTACTGTGTGAAATAGTAACATATACTCAATACTACTCTGATAGTAACTCAAGAAGCTATAACTCAAGTTTATTTGGTTACAATATACTTTAATATATTTAACTCGAAACGAACGTGTGTTAATTGAATTTCAAGAATTTATGTTTGTTTACGATGACGCATGGTGATGATATGAATTAGACAAAAGTTCGTCAATTGATTGAAAAAAAGGAATGCGTTTTGATTATAAATGCTAAAGATTCATCATCATCAACAGTATGGAATGAATTAAGATTAATTGCTCATAAATCTACTCCAACTATTCCTCTTATTGGATGGGCTGCTTGTTCTTATTGCAGTCGACCATTCAGAAGTCACTCAGCTGCTGATGTCAATGGAAAACGAAAAAATGATGGGGTCACATCAGCATTAAAACATCTTGATCAATGTAGTTTGAGGAAAAAAGAAATGGCAGTTAAACGTAAACGACAATTAGATGATGAAAATGGTGATAATCCTGATCAATCACAATGGTCTTCATCGTCATCCCCAACAGTTAATAAAACATTATCAAAATTTCTTTATAATAAATCAACATTACCAAAAACTTGGCAAAATCGTATCAAAGAATCAGAATGTAAATATGTTGTTGCGGGTATCTATATCTGGAAACTTAGAAATAATGTATTTGATGTTTTCTTTTCTTATTAAGGTATGAATTCATTTCAGTCTGTTGAAAATGATGGTCTTCTTGAATTAGCACAAACATGTATTGATGTTGGTGCAACATTTGGACGTGTTAATGCACATGATATTTGGTATGGACGACGCTCTATTCAAAATGAATGTGAATTAAAATTTCATCAACATCGAGAAGATATTAAATCAATTATTCAACCTTACATCAATGATCGAACTGCTTCATCTACGATTGATTTATGGAGAGACGATATTATACAACGATATTATTTAGATTTTACTATTTTCTATTTGAATGAACATTGGCACTTGAAACATAGTATTCTTCGTTGTAAATATTTTGATGAACAATCTAAAACTGCAATTAATATCTGGTTTTCGATAATTCTATAATTGTTTTTCTCTCTTGGAAAATATTGAAATGATTCACAATCCATATGTACAAATACATTCTTGCTTGCGTGTTTCTTCTCTTCTCTTTTCTCTTTCTCATTCTTTTTCAGCTATCACTTTAGAATACAATAAAGGATGTGAGTGAATCATGCATTTTATATAGTATTGGTCTTTCTTATTTAACAATATTTCGAAAAATGTTCATCATAAACGAACCGAGGAAAGGTAGATCTTGAATCCTCGGAACCTGACGGCTTGTAATAGATTCTGATTGATCCTAAAGCGTATTCATCCGACTGTATCAGAGGGTGTTGAAAGTTATCCAAAGTCAAGAAGATTCACCAAAGTCTGATGAAATTAGTTAAATAATATTCGAATTCATTGTTGTCTATCAAACTCCATTATAATTTGAAGACAAGGAAAGTGATCCGAATCCTAGTGGATCCTGTTGGATGATTACAGATTCTAATTACCACTTTATTAGTGAAAATCCATCGGAATCTACCAGAACTCATCATATACATATTGTTCTAAGTTAGTTTTTTCTTCTTCAACTAGAATTCTGCTATATAATCCCTGTTTTCTCATTAATTTTCGTGAGCTCTGATGAATCCTCGTGGTTTCTGGCGTTTCAGGTGTACCCTAATGAGCATAAGATTTACCTGCATTCGATTGTTCCTCCCTGTCACGAACCATCTAGAAAATCTCTTCTCTCTTGATCTGTGAAATTATAATCACTACAAATTTCATTCACATCTGTTTCGTCCGTATTAGATTATGACCTTGAAAAATCTATCGGATCTAACACTACAGATTCTGATGTGATTCCGCAACTCGAATTTTCATCGAATTTCATATATTATCCTATCGAAATTCGATAAGACACGAATCGAATCCAACTGTCGGATTGATCACCCTAGATGAAGCACGTAGTATAAGAAGAGTTTACCACGCATGTCTCTATTTTAACCCTTTCACTACCAGCGGGACCTATTAGGCACACTTTTTTTAAACTTGACAAATTTCGAATAACTCGCGAACGCAAAACTATGTCGAAGTGTGGTTTTCTCTATGATATAGAAGACACTTCGATACATGTATCGACGTAATATTTGTTGCTAGGATAATATCAAGCAAGTAGTGGAACTGAGGATTCCATAGACGACCATCGATAGATAGTGGCATGCGCTATACTTACAAGCAAAAACATTCGTTAGCATGGATATGATCTCGAGGACATCTAATTGTATTCCATCCACTCATCACTAGAGACAGCCATCTTGCTATTTATACTGAATTTTTGTGATGTGTTCAGTTTTCGTTCGGTTTTCTGGTAATAGAATCTATACTACGAACGTATGTTAGATTGACTACGTTTCAACAATACAAGAACACGCTTACTCTTACTGTCTATTCACATTACGTATTCTTCTATCAATTTTGATTTTTCTTCGATTCTGTTTACCATATATCTTGATATCAGTCAAAATCTACTGCCGATTAGGCAATACATCATCAAATATTTCAATATAAAATAAAGCAAAATTATGGATGTTTTGAGTGAAGCTGATTCTCAAGATGAACAATCTTCGAGTTTCGACGACTCTAGTGATTCTTCTCAAGAGACTGGAAGTTCATCGAACAATGATGACAATGAAAATACCAGTGAATGGAATTACCATATTCCGAAAAGAAATTTGAAATTCTTTAGTGATAATTTAAATGTTTCACATCAAAATGATTCCCAATTTCGTCCTCTTGACGCTTTCAAATTATTATTTACTGAAGAATTGTTTGAATTAGTATGGAAACAAACAAACATTTATGGTGAGCAAAAACATGGAGGGAATTGGGTTCCAATCAACATGACTGAAATCAAATCATGGATCGGATTGAATATTCTGATGGGATATCATAAATAAAGAATGTCTAGAAACACATTTATAAAAATCCTAAATAATGTTCATTTGGTGGATAATAAAAGGATGCCACCAAAGACATCGACTAAATACTCTAAAACTTACAAAGTTAATTAATTTCTCTCTATTCTACAGAAAAACTTCAAGAATAATTATATTCTAAGTGAACATGTCAGTGTGGACGTGTCCATGATCAAATTCAAATGTCGTTCTTCATTGAAGCAATATCTTTCGATAAAGCCGATAAAATGTGGCTTCAAGATATGAACACTGGCAGACTCAACGAATGGTTATGTTCATGGTTTTCAAATTTATAAAGTAAAAGATACCAATAGAACTATTTCTTTGGGTGAACACATTGTAAAACAAATGGTCAGAGACATAGAGTTCTCTTATAGAAGAGTCTACTTTGATAACTATTTTACAACTCCAGATTTGATGGAATACTTGTACGATAAAGGAATTTATGCTGCTGGAACAATATGTGTCAATAGGAAGAATATGCCAAAAGAATTTTGCAAGTCTGCCAAGAAAATGAATCGTGGGGATTTTGAATATATTACACTAAGAACTTTAGTTTTACATAAATGGATAGATAGAAAGTTAGTATTTCTATTATCGAATTTTCATGATCCAGCTTCTTATGAAATAATTCGTCGAAAAGAAAAAAAATGGTGGTACTGCTGATGTAAAATGTCCAACATCTATTGTTGATTACAACAAATATATGGGTGGTGTCGACAGAGCTGATCAAAGAAAAGAAAGTTACGCCCTGGATTGGAAATCAAAAAGATCATGGCTTCGTATTTTTTCAATTTTTTGAATATTACACTATCTAATGCGTTTATTATTTACAAAAGTCGAACTAATTCTAATCTAGTATATCTTGAGCTTTTATCATCGATCACTACAGTATTGAATGAAGAAGGAAGAACCAAAAGACGAACGTTACCTTCAAAAAATTCAAACAGGAAGAAAAATATCATTCGATTTACCAAACAACACCGAACCGCACCTTCCAATTATTGGCAGTCGAGGAAGATGTGCTTTATGTAGTACAAGTAAAACTGAACATAGGTCAATTTATCACTGTTCTCATTGTATAAAAGAGCATTTTGTTTGAACACGAATAAAAATTGTTTTTATGATTGTCATAAAAGTATTTTGTAAGTAAACAAATCCCTTTTATTGCACATTGTTGTATACATAACTGTAAATAAATCTATCTCTCTAGAACTACGTTGGTTGAGAGGATTTTGAAATATTTCCGATAGAAATATTATTGGTGCATAATAACTATCTCAAATATGAAATCGTAGCGGAATTTCTTTCACTGGAGGAGTCATGATACTTAAAGGGTTAATTTGTTATAAAATTTGTTGTTGACACTTAGTAGCGGCGCCAGGATTTCAGTTCAGGGTGGGCTCATCATGGGTTGAGCCCACCCTAACCTACACAAAGTGTTCTTTTTACATAGCTTTCAAAATCTCCCAGGGTGGGCTCGACGTAAATC